TTTCAAACTATGGAATGTGTAATAAAAACTGATTTATTCATTAAACTTTAAGATGTGATTTCATATGTGTGATTTAAATTACAAATTACAAAAAGAACATCTTTTTTTCAACTATTATTAAATTTTCTAAGTCTTTCCCTGTTCTTTAATAGTTAGTAACAATTTTATATTCTACAAGTTCGCTTTATTTGTTTATTCCCCGTTCTTTAAAAGACACAATCAATTCTTAATGCGTTACGAGATCATAAACAATGTAATGTTTCTCTACACAATGTCATAGTCACAAAAAAGGTAACATAAAAATGAAATCGGCAAAAATTCCTTCCAGGTTTAAGGAGATGAAGCACTCTCCATCTTGATATCATTTTTCACTTTAGAAGCCTCATAGACACTTCTTTTCTCATAAACCAAATAAAACTACCAATAATTGAATAATTAAATGTTTATAATGTATGTGAAATATGGAAAACTTCACACACCTTCACATATAGCGTAGTTTCTCACTCAGGGCTGTACTATGAGTGGGGCTAGATTGTAACTAATCGTTTGGTTTTTGGCAATTAATTTCCAATATTTGCTACTATCAGATTTTATAAGAAATATGACAGTGTTATTTGTTAATATAGTTTGAGAAAATACTACCAATTTAAGTAATATTAAAAAGCACTCAAAGAACTCGAAATAAATGTTGAAATTACATGTATTCCAAAAACAATACGTTTCTGCAAAATACACATGCATAAATGATACAAAACCGTCTCTACGCATGACTACAGTTTCTCACGATTTTCTTTTGGACATCCAAACACGTAATATGTTTTTCAGCCACTACGTCACTAACTGCATCGTACATCTTCCCGTAATTCCAATTCTATTGCGCTGGAAAGCTAACCCAATTAGCGCTTCCGCTAAGCAAAACAGGTCCGACCGAGAAGGGTGAGAGTACTAAGAAACTGGGAACTTTATTTTCCAGCTTTTTTCTCTGTTCCTCTTTCGCTGAAACGTGGAAGATTTTCGAGCAACCCACGTGCAAGGAATTCTTAAGAGGACTCGGCGAGGTGCAGATAGGGAGAAAATGTCTCCTAAAGAAAGTAAAAAGATGCCCATGAATAAACATTGCGTGGTACTGCAAGCCGAATAATAAGATAAGCTCTGAAACGGGCGGCAATCGCAAAATTAATTAGTGAATATCTTATTGTCACACGTTTTCTCCTCAAAACTGAATCTTATGTTTATATTACATTAATGCATATAATATTAGTAATTATGATTTCGAAAATGATAACACTCTGTCAACACTTTGTTTACTCTTTGTAGTTTTATGAAAATATAAAATAATATCTTAATATTCAAATTCCAGGCGAACATGTTATTACCTCAGGGAAGTGCATCAATACTTAATAACTTTCTAATTGCTTGTCTATGGGAATAAATATACTTGCGGAAATATATACTCATATTTTCATTGTTACTTACAGCTGATCGGAAAATAAATCAAAGAGGTTTGTACAAATACAAATCTGAAAAAAATACACTGGAAACACTTATTCTTGGAATTAGTTAGAAAATAAGAAGAACGATGCAAATGCATGGGTGCTTTAACTTCTTTGATAATAAGTGAATACCATTTTCTTAAAAATATTTACCTCTAAACATCGTACATACGTAGCTACAGTAACTAAGCCAAATATTTTCTTAAAACATGTTCATTAAAAAAGTCTCCTTAATGTATTTTCATTAAATTGTCGAAATAAACCTCCGAAATGAGACGAATAGAAAGATGAAGGTTCTCACAGAGAATGAATCATTAGGAAAAGCTTAATCGTATTTTTTGCTCTCAAGCAGCACTACTAATGGTCGCGTGATACAGAAACTTCTAATTCTTATGTCAGTAGTAAGATGTAAAGAATATTGTACACTTTGTCACGCTATACCTCGTGAACTCCCAAAAGTAATTCGTAATGATCGATTCAGATAGCTTTGCATCTGTCTTGATGCTCGATCTACATATAAGATCAAAAATATTTTTACATAATAGCAATAATAAAGAAATATGGCCAGAATATATGGAATAAAGAAAGGGGGTTAAAGGTAAGCCGTGACTGAAGAAGCTTTGCTGAAAATGATTTAGTAGAACACAATTTTGTGAATGGAAGTGTCAAACATGAAATTTTACCGTAACGAATATTGCTAATACTTGAAATAATAGATCCACATTTTGTTAGCCAGCAAATTGTTCAAGGTGGATTTCTGTTTATACTGGGTGAACCTACACGAGTACTATAATCATCATGTTTCTTTTTTGACTACGTTTTTAATCAAATCTCTTACTTTATAAACTAATTACTTTCAATTAGTTTCCTATATTTTATTTACACTTCTCAAATTTTTCCAAATTTCTCTAAGAACACACATATTTTGGTGCGTAATAATGCCCATCTATTCAAGGAGTAGGGCTTTTTCAAATAGTTATTAAAAACGTACGACGGCTGGAAATGAATAAAGTAACGATTTACTTGTACCTCAACTATTCACAACTAATTTCATTTTTAAATCTGGTAACGGTATTACTATGAGAACGGTTTTTAAAGGAAACGTTCTAACATTTTTATAGAGTTGAAAACCTTAAACATTTGACTATAACAAATTCGTATATTTTGTTCACCATTTTCTCTAACGCATCGAAGAAAAATAAACTTTGAATAATCGAGAATACATCCGCACAAGACCGTCTATTCACAAAACATTTTCCTCGAATTATCTTATTTCTTTAGTTTATTATTGTCTTCTTGAATGACAAGTGTAACCGCAGTAATTGAAGCTTATATCATTCATTCAGTTTCATACCATTTCCATTTTACACCTAGTTTGGTTATTAATTGGAGAAAATGTTCCTATTTCTTCAAAACCACAACTTTTAACACATTAAATATTTCAATACACGGGCCAACTACTATTTTTGCTTTATCTTTCTTCATGTGAATTTCATCTGCATCTCACAGACGTATCAATCACTCCTGCGCTAGTCAACGTCTCTCGGCTGAATGCATCAATCTTCTTCACCATTTCACCAACAAAAACAAAACAAACCACTCCATTGCTTGTAAACAGGTTCCGGATTGGCCGTGACATCCCGTCACCTTCATCTGTCTAAGACCCGTCATGCACCAATACCATCTCGATTGAAGGCTCAACAGCTGGGTTTCTGAAGTTTACTAGGAACTATGGTTTACCTTAGGTAGAGGACGTGTGAATCATGTTGTCTTCAATGTCTATTCGATCTTAAGACTGACTAATAGTAAAAAAAAATTATTCTATTATTTTATTTTATTTTATTAAAATAATAGAATTACAAAAAAAATAATAGAATAAACAAATGTATTCTAAATATGTACAAGTTATAACATAATGTACAAATATATTTCTCTTCATACACTACACCTAAGGCTACATGTAGTGTAGCCGTAAAATTATTTTTTCAGGCTAAATATTTTCAAAGATCCCATGGGTATAAAAAATATGATTGGCATGCATCAGAAGTAACAGTGAGAGTGAAATAATTTGCCTCTAGCGATTTGTATAGTAAAATATTATTTCTTTACCTTACGAGTATTTTAAAGAAACGGTTTTTCAACAGTTCCCTTTGAACATATAGTGGATGCAAATAGACACTTAAATTAGATATTCTGTTGATAATAACAAAGGTGCTAAAATTACCCAAATCGTAAATGACATAGCAGAGAGAAATATTAAGCTTTTCGAAGAATATAACATATATCTAACTATTAATGAAGAGCAACAACAGTATATTATACATATTCTAGAAGAATACCGAAGAAATATTTCAATAGCCAATAAAAGAGATCTAATGAAATATTTCTAAAACAGTACTTCTATTAAAAGTTTAATAAAAATTCATCTGCGCCATTTTTAGTTAACATTATTTCAATATTCGTCATAAAATGTAAAAAACAGGAGTCGCTGATATACTAATATAGCCTGCGTCTTTGAATAGTTACAGAAAATTAGTTTAGGACATTTGCATGACAACGTAATCATTCATGAAGAAAATAAACTTTCAAGTGAAAATATTTTTTATCAAATTAGGCCGAAAAAGCTATTTGTTTTTCTTTAATCGATGATAATTAATTGAAAAGTATAAATAGTTCATTTCAAACTAACTTTTTAGGTAGCAATTTTGACATCACTTCAAAAAAATTGTGCAAAACATTATATAAATGAAATAATGGTTAACGAAGATAAACTGGCTTTATCAATAAAATATGTTAAAAATCAAATTTGTGACATACATCGCTACAGACACATTATTTCACTCTCACCAAAGCTTGTAATGCATGCCAATCTTATTTTTGTATCCGTAGGATCTTCGAAAAAATTTACTTACAAACATAATTTTGCCAACCTAATGTATAGTAAACGAAGGAATATTAAAAATATTCTATTTGATGTACAATAACACTATTGGCATAAAAGTACCGTATTAAATAATTATTTTTTAATAATATGTAATTATAATTAATACAAAATGGATCTAAAGTGCCATCTACCCCTTTGGAGTGACGAATTACACAATTAAAAATTAGGCGAAGCGAAATACACAGTTGTTTGTTATTCCAAGAAGATTTTATTTCAAGAAGATAAGAGTTGAATATTAAACAGCCTGCAAAGATTACGTTCTGATGATAAATGTTCGTGATTTCCCTTCAAAATTGTCCTGTAAGAAAATTTTGAAATACATGTTTATTCACAAAACCTCACGCAAACTATTGTTTGTAGATACAACTTTGCCTTGAAATATTATCGTCTTTTTGCCATGCATTTTATACATATTGACTTGTCACTGAATTCAATAAATTTAATTGCAGGGCATTTACTATGAAAGATAAACGTCACTTCAGTCGACATCAATCCATACATCTTTTGTCACACATGACGAAATTCAATTCTTTTAAATATTTCAGATCCAAAGTAAATAATTTTTAAAATACATTAACTTTTAATTTATTTTCAAACTCAAATAACGTAATGCTAATGTAACTTTCAAATTGTTTCTTTAAGATGAAAATTAGCATTACAAAGGTCATATACTCCGTTCTGCAATCGATCATTACCTTAAACGTAAAACATTTGGTTTGTCTGAATCTCGTATGTCTCAGAGACTTCCATTTCATCATTCTATCTCCCACTATCATGTACATAAAAAATATGATGTAACACAAATAGGCTTACATGGTAAGCATGTCCCTCATGAAAATGTCCCAAAAACAGGTTACTGGCGCTTGATTTGAATATACTGTTGAACCCCATATAAGTTCTGATGACGTAGAACTTTCTCCGGATTATGATGCACCTCCAGATTTTTGCTGAAGATTCGTCATTGTTGCGTTCTTCGAATCATCGTTTTGTCACAGAACCCCTTCTCCCAGTCGCCGATTGCGTGCGTTGTATGTTGAAATTCACCTGGAAAACACAACTCTCATGAAATTTACGTCTTTTCGGTAGTATTAAATTTTAGTTCTTGCCCACATTTAACTGTTGCCGGCACACAACATTCATTAGGTTTCATTTTAAGGTTAATACCTATAACTGATGCTTTAAAAAGTAGCCAGAACAAAAAGCAATTGCATTGATTATAGGAGTGTGTCCTATTTTTCAACAAGGAGTAATTCCCTTCAAGGAGTAATTAATAACTTGTATAGTGTAAGCCCTTTCGAAAAGCTAGAGGTGCTAATACAGCACATACTTTCTCGCCCCTAGTAATGGTTAAATAACACTATTTATACAGCTCTCCGAATTAACACATCACAGTCGTCTTTTTTTGTAAAAACCATTACCAATTGTTGAACATCATACCCGGGCTCTTCAGCTAATCAGCAGACAACGATGCGACAACACTCATATATGAAAGACGGGGGATACACAACCACGCTCACGACGTGGCATGAACCCGCAACCCTTCATGCTGAGGCGCTCTAGCCACCTCGGCCATTTAGGTATGCAACAAGCATAACTGCGTTTCATACAACTATTTCAAGTCCCAACAATGAGACGGAATTCAGAGAACTACAGCTGCCATCTCGCAGGGCGGAATTACAGTGTTACATTCCAATTTGATGATGATTTTCTGAATGCGGCAATTTGTCTTTCATATTAAAATCAAATCGTATTTTTAAGAGAAAAATCTAATCGGGCTAATTTCAATTGAAGTTTTCGGATTTGCTTGAAAGAAAATACATGAATTCATTAAGAATGCAAGTACATTCCTCGCAACATGCACAAAAATGTGGACTATCAAATAGGTTTGATATAAATTGTAAAAGATTAATTTGTGAACGTGACACAGTAGCTAGAATGTAAGCAACGAACAAAGAAATATGAAATAATACACAAATTCTGATTTACATAGCATCTAACTGTCTTCTAACATTTCTCAAATTACGTTTATAAAGCGCTGGGAATTCAAAACGGGCGACAATTGTTAACATCTTATAACACAGAAATAGTCATTTTTACAAAAATTGAACACGACCTCAATTGATGATCTGATTTTAGTGAACACATTTCATTAAGAAAAAATGTATCTTTAAAATTGTTGTTGTACGAAGACGTATATTTTTCCAATTTTATAAAAATTAGGGATTTCAACGAACAAGGGACCTACACCATTCTATTGATCGTTGTTTAAGCTATCGAAGATCAACATTTACTCAACAAATTTGTGCGTTTTTAAAGAAAAAATGGTTTAAAGAAAATAAAAATTGCGTGTTTGTCACAAAATTTCGCAAAAATTCTCAGACTTTCGAAAAATTGAACCTGACATTATTTCAAGATATATTTCTGATGAACACATTTCATTAATGAAGAAATGTTTATCGTCATAATTACATTTATAGAAAGACGCCCACATTTTAATTATTTTACCCTTTTTCAAAAATCAGTATATTCAAGGAACGTGAGATAAATATTAGTTTTTTAAATAGTATTTGAAGTGTAAGAGAGAAATTGTCATATTATAATATTACATAACCATAATAATATCACGGGAAAACTTGTTTTAGCTCCACTAGTTACTTTCTAACAACTACTTACGCAGTATAAAAAAAGTTATGTAATACTGTTGAAAAACAGCAAATCGTCGTCTGAAAAACGTTTATTAAAGGGCCCTCATATCAAAAACGTGGATAGATCTAGTTGTTACAAAATCTTTAATATGAGGTGTATCCAGAAGCTGTTTTGTTCTTTTTTAATAACAGAGTGAGGACAAAATGTCTGTCCAGCCGTCTCTCCGTGAATGCTAGTGGCTAAACCGTTCAGCTGATTTTCTCCAAAAAATATATTTCTCAATCAATCTGACTGATGCCACGGAATTTTGAATTTGAAACTGATATTTTACTTTTGGGAGGTACTTTACACAGGGCCATGCGCCATTTTCAAACTTTTCAAAAATATGGTCTAAATTTTTTCATTGGAGTTTGTTGTGGGATAAATGAATAGTGAAAGTCTCATATTTGTTGACATCCTTAATTTTTCGAAAATTGCAAAAATTCAAAATATTTTTGGCTCTATCCTACAGCTACAATTACGAAGTTACATTTTCTATTTTTAATGAAATATTCTTCATCAAAAACGGATCTTCAAATAAGACTGTGTTCAATTTTTCGAATTATGGGTATTTTTTGTGTTGTCTGGAGGTAATTTTAAAGTTGCTTATTTTCCACGCAGTCAACGTGTTAAAATTCGATTCAAGAGAATGACAAAAAAATTGAAGAATATAAATTGCATTCTCTGGGAGCAAGATAGCTACCATTCAGACATAAGTACCGTAAAAGCTAGAGCAATTCAAAAAATTGTTTAAAAAAAGACCTACAATTTTTTTCGCAAATGAAACAGAAATTTCTAAAAGACACATTAACTTCAGAATTCTATTTTATCTACTTACTTCTTTGATGGCTATTTTTCTGAAACACTCTGAATACATGCATACATATTTACAATTTATTTCTCATGTTATGATCAAAGCAATTGTAAAACTTTTATGGAAATTTATATGGCGACAATTTAAAATCTGTAAACCAACAGGCATATAAAAAGGTCAAAGTTCAGTAAATTGAATCACTTCTCATTCCATAATTGAAGGTTAATGAGGAAATGATATGTAGTATTTATCAACAAAGTGGGGAAAATGTAATGATTACTTGATAACATGTTATTAGTGATAAGTGTTCAAATTGTTATCAATTTTTTTGTTATTTATTAATATACATTTCTTCTTCTTTCTGAAACCCGTTCCTTGTTGAATTCTTCCAGTTCTTCGAATGTGTACGTCTGTCTAGCCCACTAAAACATATTCAAGAACCAATTTGGTACGAGTTTCACCACGTGCATCATGTGGTATTCTTCTTTCTTCAAAATTCAATAATGGTTTATATTTTTAACTTATACCACATTTCATTTGCTACTTAATTTTGAATACTTTACAAGAGTTCTATTTAGAATGATAATTTCTGCTTCTCATTTTCATACAATTAGTGATAAGTTCTTTTTATGTGATCTTAACTAGTATTAAATAAATCTTGATCGTTTAAAAATAGCAATATTCATTGATTCTTAGTCTCGTAATTCTTGCTATTTTTCATTGACTCCGTCGTTTCAATAGAAATAAAAATATAGAGTATTTGTTTTTAGTAACAATAATGCTGAGATTTTTTAAAAATCTTGAACAATATTTTCAGTTTTGCTTCCAACAAAGGTTTATATTCCTTCGATTTAAATATCTTGGACAACCTTTTTTTCTCAATTAATTTATTTTTTCAGCATTTAATTTATATTACATGTCTAAACACATTCTTATCTTGATTTCTTCATCATACCGTTTTTCTTGTAAAAATCTTTGAATGCACTTTATATAACCTCATAAAATACTCTTCAATCCTTATTTAATTTTTAAGCTTGAATCGGGGAATTAAAGAGCCAAAAGAAAACTAAAACCACAACAGTATGATTTCGGGTACAGAAGAATATTACCAAATTAAAGATTTAAAGAGTTTTGCATGGTTTTCTACGAATGTAATTCATGAAGAATTATACAAGAAATGCATTACATAAATCATTATAAAAACAAAATTTGTGAAGGAGTATAAATATGTCTTCGGGGAAGCAGAGGTATAAAATTGACTCAATAATTCACAGACAATACAGTATGTAATTTAGCAAACAATGAAAATATAAATTTTTCATACCGGTCAAAGAACTTTGCACGAATTTAGAAGGAAGGGGGGGGTGATGATTGGGAGCATAATGCCAAGTACAACGAAATGTATACGTTTCCAAACCTTGCGCATGTAATAGTGTCATATGGCATATTCATATGTGATCAACAATAGATCATTTGATTCCTCTCGACAAGACAAATCGATTAGCTTGATGCTTAGCCGTATCCCTCCAGGATGTACTCAAATAATTGTAGATAATTTCGTAATTATGATGGCTTCATTGCAATGGTTATGTTGTGAAACGCTGCAAGTTGTCTCCTTCCAGCATTTACATGAATCGTGACCACTTGATTCATTATTCTCCGAATTAAAGTAGTTGTCTAACTCAGAATTATGAAAAATCATGAAATTTCATATTTTACTATTTTTATTGAGTCATATGTTCTGTTTTATTATATTTTAAATACTTCAAACCATCTCTTTCAAGGTATCTTAGTTTTTTCGGCAAATAATTCCTTTCTAAGCGAGTGTCTGCTGCCAAGCTCATAGTGAGTGAACTTTAGATACATTGTTCCAGTATTGGGAATATTCAACAGTTTTATATATGTGAACCATAATACATCATAAACCATAAAATATAATTTTTCCTGCAACTTATTATTTGCTCTAATGAATGAACTGGGATAGTGTGTCACTATATGAGTCAGTTAAAGGAAATGTTCAGAATATACTTTAAAACCAATTTTTATTAATGAAATCCTGACTCTTCAGTTTTCGCAGCATTTTTACCATCCTAGTTCATTTTCTAGAAAATACATTCATCATCAATTTACAAAAAC